TCTGGATTGATTTTTTGGAAATATGAAAAAACAGTTTGACAAATATGTGAAAGAAGCAAATTCGTTGGATAGTTTTTGTTATTAATTAAAGTAATTACGATTTTACATTAAAATAATATTAAAAATAAGAATGTTTTCCAAAACATCAATTTTATATATCTTTTCAAATTTTTGTTGTCTGGGTTGATATTTTGGAGATATGAAAAAAAAAAAAACAGTTTGACAAATATGTGAAAGAAGCAAATTCGTGAGGAATAATGGTATGCGAATATTGAGGCTGATTTTTAGGAGACTAATTTGCCATTAAAAATAAGTCAAAGTAAGTCTTTTTTAGGTAGTTCTTTTGTTAATTAAAAATATATGCTTACGATTTTACATTAAAATTATATTAAAATAAAGACGTTTTTGAAAACATCAACTATATATTCTCTCATAGCCTTGTTGGGTTGATTTTTGGGAGATATGAAAGAAAACAGCTTGACAGATATGTGAAAGAATCAAATTGGTGATGAATAATGATATGAGAATGTTGAGGTTGATTTTTAGGAGAGCTAGAATATTTTGTTCATGTATCTATATTTAATTAATTAAATATTAGTTATTAATTAAAAATATAAGATGATTATTGGTGTAGTATTAATTTGCCATTCAAAGTAAGGATTTTTTAGGTAGTTCATTTGTTAATTAAAAATATAAAATAAGATGGGTATTACTATATTACTAATTTTCCATTAAAAATATGTCAAAGTAAGGATATTTTAGGCAGATCATTATTTTTACAAAATCACTCATCCTTTTATAATAGTATAGATATAGATAGATATAGATATAGATTATTCATTTAAATATGGCATATTTTTTTCAACAAAATTATTCATATTTATAAAAAGAATAGCTGAGATCGGTCTTACAAAACCATGTACCGTTGAGTTTTGATGCTCCTCTCCTGTCAAGAGGTCTGATTTTTCTTTACACATATAATTTTGGGATACGTTTTGGAGATTCTAGTTTTTTATAAATCAGACATTTCGATAAACTGTATTTTTAAATTTTGAACATTTGCTTAAGTTGTGGTTAGAATTGTATATCAAACTATGAATTTGTTCTGGTGGGTCTGACTAGGATATAATGTGCCCAAAAATATTGAGTTATCATGTGTGGAAAAAATGAACAAAGTTGCGAATTTATTGTCACTTTGGAGCAAAGGCAATTTTGAAAAATAATAGTGCCTCGTAACAAAGTGTTCTAATCTACGTCACAATTTTGGTGTTTTATAATCTTATATATTGATGTCTCGCAATTCGAAATCTCATATGTATCAAATTTCGCTAATTTGGAATAGTAATGTGTTTTGTATGTTCATGTTGTTATTTTATGTATTTTTAAATGTTTTGTTTGTGTTCGTTTATTTTATTTTAGGTTTTTCCAGTTCATTTAGTCATTTTTGCTCATTTATGTGCTTTATTGTCGTTTTGATGTCTTGTATTTTTTATTTATTATATTTTATTTTGTATAAAAAATGCACTCTAGAACGCTTGACACCGCAGGAAAACCTGCCGTAAAGTTTTCAAATAGACGACCCAGTTAATGCTCAGTGGACCGCGACCGACACCGAGTGCAACCTTTGCGTGCCTTGGCCAGCTGATGAGAAAGGAGGTTTGGACCTCCAAAGACGCAAAAGGTCGAGGGCCGAGATGATTCGAGAAGACCGAGCGAAGGTGCAAAAAGGCACGCACATGGTCTTGGAGACGGGCGCGAGAAGCTTGGGACGCGAGAGGGGTTGGCGTGACTTGAGGAGCAAGCTAACAGAGATCCTTCTAGAAGATGGCCGAGAAGCTTGGAAGATATTGGCTTATTTTAGGATACTTAATTAAAGTATATTTTCTATTGGCATTGTTAGGTTATTTAGGCATTAAATAAGTTGGGTATCTTTAGGATTCTAGATAAGGATCCTAGTAATTTACTTTCATAAATTTAGGAGTTAATTTCTCTTAGAATTAGTCTTTGTTTTTCCTTAAATATCTATCATTGTCTCGTTCTCCAAATTTTCTATCGAGTCAGTATCGAAATGTCTCGTTCTCCAAATTTTTCTTTCTCTCTTTTTATAATGAAGTAAGGAAACGACAGTTCCGTCACAATGACACAATCTGTAAGCTTTAGCCTTTCGTGATTGTCCCGTCTACAAAAGTTATAGAATTTATACACTAGAGCCCACGGATTGGGGTTATTGCAGCCCATAACCCCATTTTTTTATTGCCAAAGACTTTTCAACTAACTCCATCTTTTTTTTTCTCCTTCATTATTCCATTATTTTTGACTACGAGATATTAAACACCGATTTTCAACATCAACTCACCAAATTTAGCCAATATTGATCTAGTTAATCACAAGCACATCTCAACAACACAATTCGATTCAAACTCAACTCCTCATAAATAAACCACAAAATATCAACCATCATGCTTTGATCCCAAAATAAAAACACCTAAAGATATTTAACCGAATATAATCAACTCAAGTTATTTGAATTAACACAATAAATCCAAACCGACTCCAATGTCATCACTGAGAAATTTTACATACAAATCGACTCATACTCAAACAAATTAGGAGAATATATAATATAGAACACAACTCAACAACGTAGACATCTCACATAAATTCACATGCACCTCCCCAAACTTAAAGTTTGCACATAATAGAACGATATAAGAGGTTAAAAGAAAGATTTCACCTTATCAAATAGAGGAAGTCACGATCGAACCATGCACACCATAGGGTTGCCTCCCAACAGACGCCTTTTTTTTTTATTGTCGTCGGCACGACTTGTTGTTCTACTGGAAAAAAAAATAAGGAGATTAAGAGAGTCAAAGAAAAAAAAAATTAATAAAATAAATACTAATCTACTTATCTAATTCAATTAATACAAAAAAAAAAAATCACAAATCAATTGCGCCACTCTCCGGCAACGGCGCCAAAATTTGGTCACGCGTCGCGAAGCGACAAATTTAAATTTATAATTTTTTTTTCTTGGCTAACCTCTACTAACTAGTAGTAATGGTAAGTAAGGGTCAATTCTACGAGTAGTAAGAATTAAATCGTGACCATTTCGTACTAATTGAACTAATCTACGAAAGCGATAAAAGGGGGTTCCATTTTTTAAGACTAAAAATAAGAATAATAAAATAAAAGTCAAACAAAATGAGAGAAGTCAAATTTTCAGTTCAGTTATTACCCAATCTAAATCTACCGTTTATTAATTCCAACGGCTTATTTAAATTGTAAATGAATTACCAACCTTAATTAACAACAAACTCTATTAATCGAATTTTCTCTGACTGAATATTTAATCGAAATAAACTCTTCAAATAAACCTAATTAATGGACAACTTAAATTAAACTCTCTAGATTTAATAAACTAACCATATTAATTTCTTAGAAAATAGGTTAGTCTAAATAACAGATACGATATTTGAGATCATTTAACTTATGTTCATGCTATTTAGAGATCCACGACCTCTAATATACTACAAAAACAATAACAATAACAAAACGAGAACAATAAGCATAGACTCCCCTGGCAAATAAATTCCCAACCCCTCCAGTGCTACTGCTACGTGTTTTTTTTCCCCAAATAATTAAAAGTGCTCCCAACTAATCAAACTCCTCTCTTGGCGCACCTCTTCTTAAAAATCCTCCCAGCAATTTAAATCCTCCAAGCCCCTTCAAATTAAGTCTACCAAACTCATTTCAAAGTGGGCCCAAATCATATTATTTTCCTTCGCCCAAAGACATGTGCTTATAGGAGATTGTAGATGGGCTGTGTGAATGTTTCATGACGAAATTCAAGTACCCAAAATTACCGATCTTATCTATTGACATATGCGAATATTCTTTAAATTGTTAAAAATAGTTATAAAAAATCAAATTAAGTACATGAATTCATCTAAATAATAAATAAGTCGAAAAATATCGATGTACGAATAAATTAAATGTATAAAAATACACTATTAAAAATATAAAACGCGCATATTTTTCAACCTATCACTTATTATTTCTGTTTTTTGTTGTGGTCATTTCCTTGTTTTAACTATATGATTAGTTTTCATTTAACGCATTAAACTAGTATTATATTTTCAAATTTAGGTGCCAAAGCAAAAACATATATTTATTTCACATGATATATATCTTACAACTTGTATTGAACCGTATAAATTCAAATCTCGATGTGGGACAATACTAACTAACTATATATAAGATGCAAATACCACAACAAATCACTTTAATGCTTCCAAGTGTTGGCATCACAGACAGAATACATGATTATATGTGGCGCTGGATATTTCTGAAGCATGCATAGCATTTGTACATGATTATAAGTTGGAGTTTTGTAACTGTACACATAATATCAAGATTAATGTACTGTGTACACAAGTATGCTAATAAATATATATACATAAACTATAATTTAGGTCCACGTGCTTATAGCCTATTTGTAGCACATGTATACTTGAATTATTGAACCCATGAGGACTTGTCTTTCTAAGCTGATCAATTGGGTCCCGAAGCAAATTGTGCTTTGTCATTTGAGAAACATCTCAAGCTTAAGGCCATGTCCCCAAAAGCCTTCAGCCAAAGCATTAATGCAAGAGCACAAGTTCGCATGCTATTTTTGGTGCGTACCAGCATTTTTTCCTAACTAGTAATATTAGCTATTTAATTTTTAAATATATAAGTAAATAATACATCACACTCCTCATATTAAATTTTGAAATTAATAATACAAATAAAAACATTTACAATTTAATTCCACATACAAATTCTTAATTAGGGACACAAGCACAACTATCATTTTATCACTAAAAAAGAAACTAAACACACTAACCATAGCAACACGCAGACTTAAAAAATACCGATTCTGGCCTGCAGCTGGTTCACATTTAGACCATATCTTATACTTTATATATTACTATATTAATAAAAATTTTAAGTGAAACTGTTTAACCATGAACGGCCGCGTAGCTATTGATGAGAGCCAACGCGTTGCTCGTCACATGGGCCGCATTCACGATCCGCTCGCGAACCGCCACCTTGACGGCGCCGTTCATGGACGCCCCGGCGAACCCGTCCGTGCACGTCTCCTCGTCGGTCAAGGCGGCGCTCACCCACGTCTGCACGTCGCTCACCATGGCCTCAAAGCCCGGCCCGTCCCTGAACCCGTTCATCTCCGCCAGGGACTTCCGGATCTGGTCCACGGTGTCGCCAAGCAACTCCACGCAGTCCGCCATGGCCCCGGACTCTCGGCCCGTCAGCCCGGCCCGTCGGGAGATCCTGACCATGTCGACGGACGTGGCTCGGGCCGTGTCGAGGCTGACGGAGAGGGCCGCGTGGGCCAGGAGTTGGGGGCTCCGCTGGACGGCGCTGGCGTGGCTGGAGAGGGTAGAGTAGCAGAGGGCCGGGTAGGTGGTGGCGGAGCACGACGTCCGTATGAACTGTGTGGCGGCGCCGCCGTCGGCGGCGGCTGCGGAGTAGATTAGAGTGAGGAGTGTGAGGGTTGTAATTGCTACGGATTTGGAGGCGTGATTTTCCATAATTGAGATTTTATTTAATTTTGGTGTGGTCAATATATTTGACTCGTTTTTAGTTAGTGAGGAGAGAGTGTGAGGCTGTGTGGGATGAAATTGGAGGGAAAAAATGGCGCGAATTTATAGCGAGAAATATCTTGTGTTAATTTTTGTTGATGTGGATGGGTAATGAAACGTGGGACCATCTACGAGTGGAAGTGGTGCTTGGATGGACCTCATTTTGTGGTTACCATACAAATTTATCGTACGACCAAATTCAGGACCATAGATTATTGAAATGATCAAATAAATAGAATCTTTCATTCTCTATCAACCGAAAATATCATAAAAGCGGTTGCCCTTTCATCGTCAGCCCACATACCTTCAGTACCACCACTATTAATGTTATTATTATTACTAAGAGTGATACTTGATTGGCTGGTGCCTGGTAGTCATACTTTCACATGAGAAATAAATACTTTTATTAATAAAAATATCATACTTTTGTCTTTATCTTAATATATAATATGACATTTGAGTTTAAAAATATGTAATATTTGTTAGAAAAATATGACTAAGTAACCATTAAGCAGTCTAACACAAGACTTACTATATTATTATTTGTTTGATTCAATTAGGGGAACGGAGTCAAGATTGTGTTATTTATTACACGTGTTTAAACTTGACTTCCTTTATCAATATTAACAATTCAAACCCGGTCTTTGACAAGTCCAGTTATAAGAAAATACATTATTTCTTTAAGTCTAACAAGCCGCAATAACTAAACGATCTTTAAAAGAGTTCGATCTCAATCCTCAATGAGTCTTCATAACCAAGGAGGCTTTAAATAACTTCTAGCTCAAACCATAACAAGTCTCCATAATCATAAATATATTAAACGAGTTTGAGCTCAAGCCTTAACGAGACGAGCTCTCCTAATTCACCAAATCTGCCATTTATAGTAACATTTGTGGTTCTCTTACGCAAAAGCAAAATCAACAAGAGAATCGTACCATTAGCGAAGTTAGAAACGCAATTAGGACATAAATGGGGAATCTATGTTTTAATTGGATGCTATTATAGATTAATGGCTCTTAGAGAATCCTATTTCGCGGCGTGGGTCTATAAATTTTATCAACCACAAAATTGATGCATATCCTCTTTCCATATACACAATTGTTTTAGGTTTAATGCGGATTGATCTTTTATTTTTATTCTTTTCATGAAAAATACATTTTTATGCTATCTGTTATCACGCTTTTGTTTATGTCTTTTTTTATTTAATATAATATTTTGTTTTGAATGTATGCATATCTATTTTAAAATTATGATTATCCAACGATAGTAAGTTGAATTTCATGAGTGTCGCTTAAAGAACGGATGAAACAGAAATACTTCTCTAATTATGAAACTCCTCGACGATCGACATAAGGCTTGTAAGAGCTTCTTGTGTGCTTTCCAAAGCCTCTTGGTGACATTCGGAAGGTACAACCCTTGTTGAAAATGAAGCCTCGTACCTCGATGTTCTAGGTTGCCAATCGATTGGTGCTCGAATGAAGGAGATGATGGAGCATATGACTCGGTCTCTTCATATTCAGACATGTTGAGCGGAGAAATTGATTGCCCTTCTCCAATTTTTCCATAATTTAATTTAAACGGCTTGAAGAAGACTTTTGAGTCGGCTCGGTTGTAGGCATTGGATTGTAATAATCGGGAGGCGGATAGTAGTAGTTCGGAGGTTGATGATTGTAGTAAGGCGGTTCGTCATGACCTAAAATGTTATAATTAATCCGGCTTGAGATGCCCGATAAGAATGGCTCGGGCCATACCCATGAGATATAGAGTATCCTCATAAGAATAAGAAGGTCGATAACTCAGATACGAATGGGGTGACTCTCCATATTGCGGATATATCTCCTCTCGGTAATTGTCGGGGTATCCACGCGATGAGCTTCCGGCATAAAAATAATCATACGGGTTCATTGGAATTCCTCAAAGGAATTACCTTGTACAAGAACAACAAACCAAGACAAGAAAAAAATACAAAATATGGCGAAAACGCAAAAACATGACTAGCACGACGCACTATTCACAAAACCACAAACACCAAATAGCAAGAGAAATATAAAACAAGAAAATAATAGTTAGATACACGCAAAATAAAGCACATCCTTAATCTATGTTCATGCTACCTTAGAAATGCACGACCCTTAATTAACTATTAAAACAATAGCATAGACTCTTCCGACAAATAAATTCCCAGCCCCTCTATTGCTACGTTTTTTTTTTTACCCAAATAATTCCAAGTGCTCCCAACTAATCAACTCCTCTCTAGCAAAATATGATGGCGCACCTCTTCTTAAAAGTCCTCCCAGAAGTTTAAATCCTCCAAGTCCCTTCAAATTAAGTCTACCAAATTCACTTCAAAGTAGGCCCAAATCAAATTATTTTCCTTGGCACAAGACATGTGCTTGTAGGAGATTGTAAATGGTTGTTTATGTAATTTTTTTGTTTTGTTTGATTGTTTTGTTAATTATAATTAATTTTAAAAAGTTTAGTTGAGTTAGGTTTGAGTGAGAATTTAAATTTATAGATAAAATTGCAATCAAAGAAAATATATAATCCAAATATAATCGGTGGTCCACTGATCACAAATCATAACTAGGCATAACATCAACACTTAGCCTAATCAGACATGCCATTCACGGCTACATCTCAACACCACAGCATCTAAGGCCAAACTAGCACAACTATTAACAGAAACCGAGTAATATTTTTGGTGCACAAGTTAGCATGATATTTTTGCTGCGTACCAGCATTTTTTTTTTTAACTAATAATATTAGCTATTTTAAATATAAGTAAATAATATATCAAACTCCTCATATTCAATTTTGAAATTAGTAATACAAATGATTGAAATAAAACCATTTACAATTTAATTCCACATACAAATTCTTAATTAGGGACACAAGCACAACTATCATATTCTCACTAAAAGAAACTAAACACACTAACCATAGCAACACGCAGGCTTAAAAAATAACGAATCCTGCAGCTGGTTCACATTTAAACCATATCTTATATATATATACTAGTATAGTTGCCCGTGTAAATGCACGGGAGCTATAAAAAAAATCATTAAAAGAGCATTTGCAATTCGTACAAATTAATATTATTCGTCGTTGGGATGTTTTTATCATCACAAATTAATATTTTCAATCATTTCACATTTGTAACTCTGAAACAGCAACGTAAAATTTTGAGCTGTTTTTATCATCACAAATTAATATTTTCAATCATTTCCCATTTGTAACTCGTGAAACAATGACGTAAAATTGGTCATGCGTAAATACAGAGTTCTTCAGGTATAACATTCATATAAATATAATTAATCATCAATAACTCAAATATATTTTTACTTTTGATAGGCATAAGATATAATTACCGATCAATAATGAGTCCTTACAAAAAGAGCCTTTAGCCAAATCCGTAAAACTTTTGAGTTATACATGGGAAATTTTTTTTTGAAGTTTCACCATAAAATTTATCTTCAACCTTGCCATAGTAGTTTTATATCTATCGCCTAGTTATATATCTGCCGCTGGTGCTACAATAAAGTGTGGATACCCATGACTCCACATTCTCTTATGAAAACATTTGAACAAATCTACATGATTTTTTTTTATTGAGGTATGGATTCTATATTCCTGTAAACGTTAAAAACACAAATATTAGGAAACAAATATAAATAGCATATGTATAATAACGAAATTTATAAACAAAAACATCTCAAAAGAATCACCTCAATAACAATTCCTAGAGAACGGTATTTCGATCTTGAAAACAGTCCTTTCATAATATCGCATCACATGGACTTTGATACTCCATTCTGTTTTTTATACCTTCTTTAGAAGTGTGTAATCAATTGTTTGAATAAGATGTGAAATAGATGTGAATGTGATGGTACATAAATGAATATCAATTGTGTATTTATAACCTACAATATATATATCTTACTAAATAAAAAATGTTTTGCCGTGTAAATAACGATTCAACTCACTAACAATGTAACTTACAAACGTGTGTTTATGGGTGTATTTTTAATGTCTAACAAAACTTAACTTCTATCTGACTTTAACTTCCAAACTGACTTTCATGGTTTTATGGGCGTATTTTTAATGTCTAACAAAACTTATCTTTTATCTGACGTTAACTTCCAAACTGACTTTCATGATTTTAGGGGTGTATTTTTAACTTCCATATGTTAGACGTGTTACTGTGTATTAATATTTTTAGTTTGTTTAGTGTTGGTAAGTATGTTTGACTGATTTACGTGTTAAAAAATAAAATCAATTTCCAGAGAATGATATTTCGATCTTGAAAGCAGTCCTTTCATAGTATCACATCACATGGACTTTGATATTCCATTTTGTTTACCTTATTTAGAAGTGTGTAAGCAATTGTTTGAATAAGATGGGAAAGAGATGTGAATGTGATGGTACATAAATGAATAATGAATTGCGTTTTATAAACTAAAACATATATATCTTACTAAATAAAAAATGTTTTGCCGTGAAAATAACGATTGAATCACTACCAATGTAACTTACAAACGTGTGTTAACTTCTATCTGACTTTAACTCCCAAACTGATTTTTATGGTTTTATGGGTGTATTTTTAACTTCCATATATTAGACGGTTATGTGTGTTAATATTTTTACTTTATTTTGTGTTGTTAAGTATGTTTGACTGATTTACGTATTAAAAAATAAAATATTTTATGAACATAAATTTATAGTTCTAATACAATTAACTACCTACCATTTAACATTTAAGTCATATTTTTATGTTATCGCAATATTACTAATAAATACAAAAGGTATTTACGAAATACTCTTTATATTATGTAATCTAATATTTATTGCATATATTGCATATATCTATAATACTATTTGTTTAATCGATAAATTTAATCATGATCATATGTTTTGGATTTTTCAACTTATAGAAAAAAAATATTCTACAAACATGATGTTATTTATCTATTATGAAGAATATTTGTGTGATTCATCGCACATGTTTTTAAAATATTTTATATCTAGTTTCACTATTATTAGATTTTATTTGTATGTTGTAGAAAATGAAATAAAAAATATTCTCCAAACATATTGTTATTTATTTATAATGAAAAATGTTTGTGTGTTATCCATTGCACATGCTTTTAAAATATTTATATCTAATTTCACTACTATTAGATTTAATTTTTATGTACAAAATTTAAGATAAAAAAAATTATAAAATTCAAGCAAGAAGCATACGAACACTTATAATTATTTTAATTTGTAAAATGAAAAATAGATAAACAATTTAAACTAAAATCTTTAATATAAAATAAAATAAAATTCTATAAAAACACTTGTCCAAGTACAAACGTCTCGTATTTTTAATTGTTTGTATTAAAAAAATGAGTCACAACTGATGAACACATATCAAATCATTAAATAATAGGTCTTTGTTAGTTATCGATAAACTAAATAAATATCAGTTGAGGTAGTTAATATTGATATTTAATATAAATATGAACACGTGTCAAAGAATGTGAGGATTTTCCAAAAATAGTTAATTGTTTGTATTAAAAAAATGAGTCACAACTGATGAACACATGTGAAATCATTAAATAATAGGTGTTAGTTATCGATAAACTAAATAAATATTAGTTGAGGTAGTTAATATTGATATTTAATATAAATATGAACACGTGTCAAACAATGTGAGGATTTTTCAAAAATAGTAAGAGTATTGTAGGCCCCACATAAAACTTTCTAAAAATAGAAAATGTGTTGCCTAATTATATAGTAGATAGATTACTATATTAAGAAAATTTTTGAGTGAAACTGTTTAACCATGAACGGCCGCGTAGCTATTGATGAGAGCCAACGCGTTGCTCGTCACATGGGCCGCATTCACTATCCGCTCCCGAACCGCCATCTTGACGGCGCCGTTCATGGATGCTCCGGAGAACCCGTCCGTGCACGTCTCGTCGTCGGTCAAGGCGGCGCTCACCCACGTCTGCACGTCGCTCACCATGGCCTCAAAGCCCGGCCCGCCCCTGAACCCGTTCATCTCCGCCAGGGACTTCCGGATCTGGTCCACGGTGTCCCCCAGCAACTCCACGCAGTCCGCCATGGCCCCGGATTCTCGGGCCGTCAGCCCAGCCCGTCGGGAGATCCTGACCATGTCAACGTACGTGGCCCGGGCTGTGTCGAGGCTGACGGAGAGGGCCGCATGGGCTAGGAGTTTGGGGCTCCGCTGGACGGCGCTGGCGTGGCTGGAGAGGGTAGAGTAGCAGAGGGCCGGGTAGGTGGTGGCGGAGCACGACGTCCGTATGAACTGTGTGCTGCCGCCGCCGGCGGAGGCGGAGGCGGAGGCGGAGTAGATTAGTGTGAGGAGTGTGAGGGTTGTAACTGCTACGGATTTGGAGGCGTGATTTTCCATAATCGAGATTTTATTTAATTTTGGTGTGGTCAATATATTTTGACTCGTTTTTAGTTAGAGAGGAGAAAGTGTGAGGCTGTGTGGAATGAAATTGGAGGGAAAAAATGGCGCGAATTTATAGCGAGAAATATCTTGTGTTAATTTTGTTGATGTGGATGGGTAATGAAACGTGGGACCATCTGGGAGTGGAAGTGGTGTTTGAATGGACCTCATTTTATAGCTACCATACAAATTCATCGTACGTCCGAATCCATGGCCATATATTATCGCAATGATCGATTAAATAAAAATCTTTCATCACGTTTCTTTCATTCTCTATCAACGGAAAATATCATAAAAGCGGTTGCCCTTTCATCGTCAGCCCACATACCTTCATGACCACCACCATTACTGTTAGTATTATTACTAAGAGTGATACTCAATTGGCTGGTGCCTGGTAGTCATACATTCTCATGAGAAATAAATACTTATATTGATATTTCTATCATAATTTTGTCTTTATTTTAATTTATAATATGACATTTGAGTGTAAAAATATGTAATATTGTTAAAAAATATGACTCACTAACCATTAAACAGTCTAACACAAGACTTACTATATTATTATTCTTTTGATCCAATTTAGGGGAACGGAGTCAAGCTTGTCTTGTTTATTACATGGGCTCAAACTCGACTCATTTTATCGGTCTTTGACAAGTCTAGTTATTATAAAATTATACTATTTCTTTAAGTTTTAACAAACCGCGATAACTAAACGGGCTTTAAAAGAATTTGATCTCAAACCTCAACGAGTCTTGATAACCAGGCTTTAAATGAGGTCAAGCTCAAATCTTAACGAGCCTCCATACCCATAAGGACTTTAAACAAGCTCGAGCTCAAGCCTTAACGAGACGAGCCTTCTCCTAGTTCACCATTCGTGCCATTTATAATAAAACTTGTGGTTCTCTTACGCAAAAGCAAAATCAACAGAGAATCGTACCATTAGCGAAGTTAGAAACGCAATTAGGACATCATTGGGATTCTATGTTTTAATTGGATGCTATTATAGATTAATGGCTCTTAGAGAATCCAATTTCGCGGCGTGGGTCTATAAATTTTATCAACCACAAAATTGATGCATATCCTCTTTCCATATACACAATTGTGGGTCTATAAATTTTATCAACCATAAAATTGATTCATATCCTCTTTTCCACATACACAATTGTTTTATAAGGAGGTTTAATTAATAATGCGGATTGATCTTTTATTTTTATTCTTTTTATGAAAAATAAATACATTTTTATGCTATCTGTTATCACACTTTTGGTTATGTCTTTTTTTATTTAATATTATGTTTTGTTTTGAATGTATGCATATCTATTTTAATTATGATTATCTAACGATAGTAAGTTGAATTTCATAAGTGTCGCTTGAAGGAAAGATGAAACGGAAGTACTTTTCTAATTATGAAACTCCTTAATGGTCGACATAAGGTTTGTAAGTGCCTCTTGTGTGCTATCCAAAGCCTCCTGGTGACATTCAGAAGGCACAACCCTAGTTGAAAATGAAGCCTCGGACCTCAATGTGCTAGGTTGTCCAATTGATTAGGGGGTGATTGTTTATCAATTAAAAAAAAAAAAAACCAATCAAAACTCAAATTTAACTCAACTTTAACCCAACTCCACTATCTTTCATATTATCAGTATAATTAAATAACATCAATCAATCATTCACCCAATCATTTTTACACATCACATCAACTTTAAGTCACTATTCATTCACTCACATAATTTTAACTAACCACAACTTCCAATCATTTTTCTCTTACTTTTACATCATATCAACTTTAATTATTTTATTTTAAATATTATTTTAATATATCCACTAACAACTAACCATACTAACTTTTTTCAAAAATAACTATAGTTAAAAAAAAACCAATTAATTTCTAGATGAATTCATAAACAATCACCCCCTTATAGTGCCCCAATGAAGGAGGTGATGGAGCATAGGACTCGGTCTCTTCATATTCGGACATGAGAGTCATTGTTGAACGGAGAGATTGATTGCACTTCTCCAATTTCTCCATAAATTAAATCTAAACGGCTTGAAGAAGACTTTTGAGTCGGCTCGGTTAGAGGCATTGGATTGTAATAATCGGGCGGCGATAGTAGTAGTCAAGAGGTTGATGATTGTAGTAAAGCGGTTCGTCATTACCTAAAATGTTATAACCAAATCCGGCTCGAGATGCCCGATAAGAATGGCTCGGGCCATACCAATAAGATGTAGCTCGGGCCATACCGATATGATGTAGAGTATCCTTGTAAGAATAAGAAGGTCGATAACTCAGATACGAAACTCTCCATGTTGCGGGTATATCTCCTCTCGGTAATTTTCGGGGTATCTACGCGAAGAGCTTCCTGCATATGAATAATCATATGGGTCAATTGGAGCTCCTCAAGCGAATTATCTTGCGCAAAAACAACAAACCAAGACACACGAGATCAAGACAAGAAAAAATACAAAATATGGAGAAAACGCAAAAACATGACTAGCACGACGCACTATTCATAAAACCACAAACACCAAATAACAAGAGAAATATAAAACAAGAAAATAATCGTGAAAAACACGCAAAATAAAGAAAAGTCACAAATATCAAGAGAAACACATAAACAAACAACAACTAGAAAGTAAACTTGGCATCCACGGCGACAACGCCATTTTGTTGAGTATAGATTTTGGGAAATTGATTAATGACGAGTAATTTAGAACATCAAGTCTTCTCTCAAGGAATGCTATTCGGAGATGTGTTCACTAACTAACAATCAAAGCACAAAAGGAAAAATTAAAGTTCTAAACATGCTAACAAGATTGATTTGGTTGATTTTAAACTATTTTTAACTAAGAAATTAAGAGCGGTAACCGAAAGATTCAAGCTTTAACCAAAGATTTATACTTTACCTAAAATGGAGGCTTTAATACTCGAGAAAAGATGAAAATAAAGAGAAACGAGCTAAGTCTAACGTAACTAGAAGTTAGACTCGATTTTTACCTTGAAAGATTCGACCTTTAACCGACTAATCACACTACATAAGCAAAACAAAAGAAAAGATAAAAACTTTAACCAAAACTGAGTCAATCCACATGAATTCTGACCAATACCCTGTTTTTACCTGCAAAAATAGAGCAACTTCGAAATAATACTTCCTAAACTAGGTACTTACTTTCCTATTGAATGTCCGGCGAAATAAACGCGAAAAAACTTAAAAACTTTAACAAAAAACGACATCAACGAAAAATACAAGTCTAGAAGCTCCCAAGAACTAGAGAGATAAAAAAATGGAATAGGAGTTAAGTCCCAACAAGAAAGTTGGGAAATTAAAGTTTGGTTCTCAAAATACAAATAATTAAGTTTATTTATAGCAAACACCCAAAAAATACACTAAAAACATAAAAATTGAACGAATACGCACTTAGCGGGCCATTGAACTCAGTTCGATGTGAGTTTTTGGCTTGGTAGGTCGAGGTTCACACGCTCGTAGATGGAGGTTAGCTGTGAGTGTGTCCTAGGCGTGCGGAGCTATCGCTGGGTCACGAGTGGAGGTTCGTTGTGAGTGTGGTCAAGCTTTCTCGTGCGGCACGAATGGAACTAACTGCGAGTGTGTGATGGGTGTCGAATCCAACAATAATAAACTCCTGCTTGGAAAATAACTGTAGTAGTGGTAAGCAGGGTCGTATCCGCAGGGATTGGCTAGACAGAGTATTGATGCAACTATTCGTGAAAGAAATGAAAATAAACGATGGGGGTTTTGATGATTTTATCAAACTTAGAAAATAAAATAAAATAAAATCTAACTATATACGAAAACAAAATGGGTGATTAAAAATAGAGAAAATATCCAACCAAAGGAAAAACTCGTAGAAATGATTCAACGATTCGATCACGGATGCAATAATAATTCTCCTACTCTCGATTAAACTGGTTATGGTTATTGGTACGACCTAACAACCTATCCTTCCTTACTTGCTCGATAATCAGGATACGATCTCTAATTATTTCTCTAATCAACAGACAACCCTAGATACGATCATAGGATTTAATCTATCAACAGCATTGAAATATAGAAGGACCACCAATTCTAGCCAACAAACGCACATGTAGGATTATTTAGACTAGATCATATATCTCCCTAAGCATACAATCGAAAACCCTTAGTAATCAACTATGCTATTTGCCACAAATATTAGAAGGATCAAACAATTACGGATTTAACCATCCTAAATAACAGTATGCGTTTCAACAATCGAACAAATGGCCAATTTGCATCAACAATTAAAACACAATTGATAATAATCACAAGAGATATATAAATAAAAGAGAAGTAGGGAATATAAATTCAATTAGATCTCACAAATCATAAAGAACCAAGTCTAGATTAATCCTTTGGCTGGAAAAATAAATTAATTCTCCATAAACATGGGAGAAGCCTCCCAATTATTCATGAAAAAAAAATAAAAGAAAAGAAAAGAGATGAAGAGAAGAGGTAGCGTGACGGGAGAGGGAGAAGAAGAAAGAAAAAAAAGATAAGATCCTAAAATAAATCTAACAGTCTGATTTTTAATCAAACCAGTCTATTCCTAATCCTAGCAGAAAGTACGTAGAAAATAAAGAGATCATTCTCTCTCCAAAATATCCTAATAAAATATAATAGTCCATAAATAAATAAATACTCCATAAAGTCTTTATTATTTCTCTTTCCAACTCAAGACTCCTTCCTTCTTCCAACTCTTGTAGGAAATTAGCGTTCCCACGCCTTAACTCAAATTCGTCTCTTTTGCTATCCAATCATCATAAAATTCCAAATTCCGAGATCTCCTACAAAAAATATAAAAATCAATTAAAATCAATAATTAAGCTTATACAAACACCGAAAAAGTATGGAATACATGGCAATAAACATGTCAATAATACAACTTATCAGTGTGCACTGTTCGAAAAGTCGGGCTAGGCGGCC